GTCCTGATAAAATATTAATTGTTGGAACACTTATTGGATATTTATATATTTTGTAATTGTTTCATTTTCGATAAATATTTATAAACAATTCAAGGTCAAGACTAACGATAATGAATATTTGTTTTATATATAAATATTCGAAAACTTAAAATGTAACAAACTTATCTCACTTAAATTTACGTATATACAAATTGTATGATAAGGTCACTCACAGTATACAGTATACAGTAATACACCTTTAATCAATATTAAATTATCTGCATAATTTTGATTATTTCGGATAAACGATTATCATAAAAAAATTGATAATAGTACATTATGTATCAAGTTCGATAAACGCTAATTTAATTTAACTTGCGAGCGAGTGCTTCATTAAATGAGTGTCTAGAAAATTTTATAAACGAGTTGCATATTATACTTTTTCGACAACAAATACTTAATATTAATTAAAAACTGAAAAGAATCTGTAAAAACGTACATATAATTTTTTTAAATATTGGCGTTGAGAAACTATTTAATACTTTTTAACGACATTGGCAACTGTCAATTAAATTAAAGCCTGTGACTAAAGCGCCATAAAGCCACAGCTTGACAATGTGTATTAAAAAAATATATAGGAAACATAAAAATCAAATAATTTTTTAAAGGCTGAAAAAAACAATTTTTGTGGATGATCGGCAATATTTAAGAAGTAAAGCGGAATAATAGAAATAGCAGCCCCTGTTTTTAAATCTTCGAGACAAACAAGTGTACTGTGGGCCAAAAACAAGCTAAAAAGTGACCTTGTTAAATGTTTTTTAAAACTGTGTGAATATTAAAAGTGACATCAAGTCGAGATTCCTAAAGACAAATACACAGAGCACTAAGTCGTGGTAGTCAACATTTTGACAGTTTAATACATAAACATAAACGTATATTTATTGACCTCAGGTGCTGTTTTTTACAAATCAAAAGTTTTAATTATGAATTTATTACATTCTTTAAAGTATTTTTTCTACTCCCACCTTTAAAACGACCATTATAGTACATGTTTCCATGACACTAAGTGACCTTTTAAATACACATTGACAAGTTGTAGCTCTATGGCGCTTTAGTCACGGGCTGAAGTAAGCAACAGGTTTTTAGTCACGGGCTGAAGTTAGTTTTAGGAAAAGATATATCTAATCTAAAAATTGATATAACGAGGTGTATTACATACATGTTATTTTAATAATAATTATGCTTGATTTTTTTAGTTATTTATTTTTCTCTAATCGCCCTACTGTAGAAAAAACGTAATTACATGAAATTGTACTGAGTATGAGTATGAGTATAAGAGACGTATAACCAGCCCCATTTCCTCTTGACTCTCGAACCCCGTACAGGCCTATGTTTACTTACGCCGATTTTTGTTCTTCCCCAGCAACTGCACGGCTTCACCCGTGTTTGCTGGGTGCGAATGTCCATTGCGTTCCGTACTGTCCCCTATTTGGGGCTCGAGAGCGAGAGGCGAATAGTTATAATAGCCATTCCCGGGTTCGCCGAGCCTATGCTATACGCTCGGTGGGGTATGGATGAGGGACGGGAGGGAGTTGGTTTTTGGGGGACAATTACGCCGACTTAAAACTAAGTACGACGCGGAATCCCCCTAGACCAGTCGATTAGTAATACTCCAAACATTTGGGATTACTATTTGGAGTTGGGGAGTTGTTATTTCGCTGCAGGGGTGTAGTTTCCTAGTCAAGGTCTTTGTCTTGTTCGTTATTGTCATTGTCCGTGTTCTGGTCAGATAGTTCCTGCCCTTGGTAAAGTGTGTCAGTTGTTATTAATATTTTTGTCCCAAGCACATTTTGTGGTAGAGTTCCGTCTTTGTTTATCAAATTCCAAAGCTTGCATTTATTCACTAGTCAAACAAATCACAAGCACGATTATTCTGTTGTCTAATGTTTACAAATCTCGAGTTTGGCTATTAGGCCCTTTTTTTTAATGTGTTAGACTTATGTGTTCAATGTTAGTTTACTCTGTCAGTCCAGTGTTTATTTCGGTCTCGATTGGGACCGCCTTACGCATTTGCTGTTGACAGACTTATTGCCCCATAAAGATATCCCAATAAACACTTTAACGATACCTAACACCATTAACATTGCCCGTGTAAGAATTTTAATACAATTTTGCAATGATAGTAATTAAAAACAAAACAATTGTTTAAAGTTCTTAACATAATCATATTTTAAAGTTATTTTAACATTTTCAAGTAAAATAAATGTTATGTTTAATGAAATGAATACGGGCAATGTTAATGGTGACAAATAACGGAAAATGCTTGCCGTATTTATATTGCAGATTTGTATTAGGTCATGCATACTTTTAAAGTAAAACTTATCAGATTTTTCCCTTTGCGGATGGCCACCTCCCCTCTTCTCCGACCTCCCCCGTCCGTCCAGTGAAAAGCCTCCAATGACAGGTGGCACCCAAGTCATTCATATTACCCAACACTCCACTCCTCAATGACCGTTACACCATTTAGCTTGCACTCCATGAAAATGTTTGTTTCACTTATACGTTCGCACCCCTTTTTTTTAATTATTGTTGGTTTCATCTTTAAACTTTTACGTTTCAAGAGCTCGCCCGCGTGACGCGACTCGTCTTCTCGAGAGCTGGAGCCGTACTGTAATTACATGAAATTGTACTGATAAACAAATGAAAATCATCATTTATAAAAAGTTTGGTACGAAATTCATGCAAATTTCATAAAATGTCAATGTAAACGCTTTATATCTCAAGAAATATCAATCTTAGCGATTCAACTGATAAGACCATTTTTAAAGAAAATTAAATGTTCTACAAGTTTGTCCTTTACATTTTTTCAAAGAATCTAGTCACTTTTAAAATTTCTTCAAAAATATGATAATTTTTCACTAAAATAAGATTTAGTGACCCGTACCATCCTACAGGTGCAGATTACAGCTATGGCACATAAAGCATTTTTGTAGAACTTTTGATTACGAGTAAATCCCTTTTTGAAACAATTCAATAGCATAAAATGCGGCTGAGATATAGATATTTAAAAAAAAAAAATCAAAGTTTACGTGTATTTTTTTTAAACATTTTCAACAAGATTTTGAGTTGGGAGCGAAAAAATAAAATAGTTGTGAAAAAAAAGCAACCTAATGTATATATACATATATAAATTTTATTATGTCCCACTGTGAAGTATCTTTCTGATAAAATCGAACTTATTATGATACTATTATGGTATATACAACAAACAAGGGTGAAATTTGGCTTATATGCGTACATTCGGGGGTTTTGGGGAGGGGGTAAAGTCCACCACTACAATTTATATAAATCACAACACGATTTTTATGGTCTTTGAAAACTTTTTACTTTTTTAACTCTTTTCTAAATTACGAATACGAAAAAACAAGCCATTTCTATCCATTTTAATTAATTTTTCGCAAATAAAGAAAAACAACTTGTTTGTGTTTGTTTTTATACAAGCAAACACGATATTTAGCAGAAACTAAAAGGGTAAACTTATTTTTTGCCTCTTTTAGCTCAAGGTAGTTTTTAATTAAATCTAAAATATCTCTTTTTAGAAATACCTTTTTATTTAGTCATAACACACAGTATTACGAGAAACATTATTTTTTCTTAAAAAAAGGGACTTTAAAAGAAAAGGCAGAAATCAATAACCCTAAAGGTGTTTTTTTATTCTAATTTACTGTAAACTCTTTCTTGTTTAAGTGTATGTATGTATATATATATACAAAAACATATTTTGTGAAAGACAAAAAATGCCCATAATATGTGATTTTGATATATTTCAAATTATTAATCATTAACAAATACAATGGGAAGCAAATAACAATACTAAATATTGATTTTATTTGTCTTTATTGCTTTTAATAATTTTATTATAAACATAACATTTTATGTAAAAATAATTATTTGTTTTAATTAAAATTAAAACATTAAAATTTACTTTTGTATAAAATAAACTATATATTTGAAATAATTTTATTAAGGTTAATAATAAACAATAAAATATGTATTTATTTAATATTTATTCCAATAATCAAAATTACCTATATTTTTTGCAGTTCTCTTCAAAGGTATTTAAAAAAACATCCAATAAACAAAACTAATTGAAAGAGATAAACAATACTTCAACAAATTATGTTAGTTTAACCCCGTTTCCAAACACAGAAAAAAATCATAAACATTTTTTAAACGCAAAAATAATCTGGATTGTATTTTGTCGAAAATAAATATTTATTTTAAAAACTACACACACACATCCGCAGATGTTGTTTTTGTTTATTTTTATAAACAATATTTTCGTAATTTGTAAACAATTAATGTTGCTCTAAACTAAACAATGGACCACTTTTGTTTATGTATACAGGGTGATGGGAATTTCTGCCATCAATGTCTGTCTCATATTGTCTGGGCTGGTAGTATTATTAAAATCATTTCTTTTTTCAAAATGTTACCCTCTATTTTTCTTATTATTTATTTCGAACAGATGTGTAGAGGAATATGTGTGAATCACACTGTAGACCTAATGTTGAAGTATAGAAAAAACAATGGGAGAAAAGTCTTCTTTAGCCGCCCCTTGTGAATTCCAAACTGAATTTATAACTTCACAAAACTGAAAGTTTACAGTTCGTAAAATCTAAACACGATGGGATTATGTTAATTTTTTGTTTATTTTTTGCAAAGCGTGTCAGAAAACGTGTAAAATATTACCGAGATTTATCCAGAAAATACATTTTATCTACTTCTATTGTGTTTTTTCGTGAATAATAAAAATTATAAATTTAATATTCACTGTGATTTAAACCAATCGGGTTTTAAATTGGAAGAAGGCGACTATGATAACATTTAAAATTGGTAAAAAGTAAGGTTAACCATTTGACAGATGTCAGATTTTATTTACGTAAGAGTCAAAAATTTAATAATTATAAGCAAAACCAATTTATTTATTTTAACACAAAATATATTTAAAAATGACTTACACTATATCTAGATTGTCTGATTGGGGTTGGCCAAGGGCTTGTGGCAGCAGAAAAATGATTTTTCGTCCAACCGACAGCACTTTCGAAAGGAATGTCGCCAATATGGCCCTAAAAAACAAAACAAATTCGTCAAAAACATGTTTTATCTTAATACTTATTTACCAAAGTTTAACTTAAAACTTGTGGAATATTTATTTTTGTTTATAATAAATAGGAAATTTTATGCAAAATAAGCGAATTCCTTAATTTATATAATTCACTTCCAATAAACAATTGTTTATGTACATATGTACATATATTTACTTGGAATAGAAACAAACAAAATATCTTTAGCAAAATGTGTAACACATTTATTTTAATAACCTAAGATCATGTTAAAAATTGCCAAATTAGATAGGAATATTGAATGCACACACAATTTTCCATTTCCATTAGTCTATTAAATTAATTAAGTGAAATATATATGTGGGGTCTTAATGGGTTCATTGTTAAAAAAAATACAAGCCTGAAAAACGAAAATATTGTCAAAATTAGTTAAAAGTGAAAAACCAGCATCAGAAATATTTTTTTTAACAATGAACCCATTAAGACCCCACATTAATATTTTATTATATGATTTACAACAGTACTTAGTATTAATACAAATATTTTGAGAATTTTAAATTATGTAAAATAATAATGTTTTTCTACTTCCATGTTTCCATGACACTAAGTGACCTTTTAAATACACATTGACAAGTTGTGGCTTTATAGCGCTTTAGTCACGGGCTGAAGTTGACAACAGGTTTTTAGTCACGGGCTGAAGTTAGTTTTAAGTTAGTTGACAGTTGTCAAATGTCATACAATCGTTAAAATAAATTGCCTTTCTTGTAAAATAATACTAAATGTAAAAATTATTTTATTATCTCAATACAAAAATACAAAAGTATTAAATAGTTTCTCAACGCCAATATTTGAAAAGTTTTTATGAACATTGTACTGACCTTTTAATTTCGCCGGCAGTAAACTATAACTTAAATTCGGGCACGGACTCCACTGTAAAGTGCTCATAAAACATTTTCTTTACTTTCACTGTGAAAAACTAACAATTTTCAAGAAATACATTTTGATTTATAACCTTTATAATTTTGTTTATAAAGTATAAAAATTTGATATTTGACGGTGACACACAGATTCCCCCATTGTTTCATAGATGGCGCTCTATACAAATTTTTGATTTAAATCATTTTAAGATAATAATAAGTATTTGTCGTAGAAAAAGTATAGTATGCACCTCGTTTATAAACTTTTGTTTAAAAAAATGTAATTTTTAAAGTGCCCCTCGTATCTCATTAGAGCACTTTTTGCGTGATATCAATAAAAATAATACTTAAAAATGTGATTCATGGTTGATTATTTAATATAAAAGCACAAAAGCATAAAATTAGGTAGATATGTAAACTATTTAGTGTTTAATAATAATCTTACTGAGATTAAAACAAATGATTCATGAAAAAGTATCAAGCTATGTTTGGATATTATTTAAAGTTTTAGACATGATACTTTGTTTCACGAAAACGTGTTATCGTTTTTTTTTTAAATTTTTTTGTACACCTGCGATATGTAAAATAAACAATAAAGAAATCAAGAATAAGCATGAAATTTAATGCTGATCGCAATGTTATGTTTTTAATTTGTAACAAAGTTATTTTCATATGTACGTGCTGTGGACATTAAAAATTAATTTAAGGGTTTAACGGACACACAAAAAATTACGTAGGGTAGATAATGAAGTATATATATTAACGCGATCATACGAACAATAAAAATCCTTTTAACCAGCAAGGGTAAGGATAATCAGGATAACGATAGGAAAAAAGGATGTTATATTTTGAGTAATATCCTTTTTAATTTTGTTCTTCGTATGTATATTGAAAGTAAAACAATCTGATATATGTTTGTTTAACTATAATTTTGGTTGTGTTTTTAACACCCGGTGTTAAAAATAATCATCAACTGTGTTTTGTGGTAATATGAAACAGAAATGACTGTATTGCATGTTCCTATTTGTGTTAATAAATATGTAGCTAAATGTTTCTAAAACGAAAAAAATTGTAAGGTAAACAATTTAATTGTATATGAAACAATAAAGTCATTAATTGTTTGTTCTTAATAATTACGGCTATAATTGTTGCACGTAATGTCACACTTGAAACTTTTATTTATTATTTAAAATACAAACTTTAACGACCCATAAAAATGAACACAAAACGTAAAAACTATTTATTCTTAAACAAATAAATTTATTTATTTTCGATGCTCGATCTGTTTTTATAACTTTTACGTACTCTTTGAAAATAAATGTTTTATGTTATGTATTGGATTCTAAAGAAAACATACACCAAAATAACTTTGTTGTTAACCTAAATAATAAAATATATTCTTGTTTAGGTCTACAAAAAAATATTTCATATGTTCAGTTTGTATAATTATTTTAACAAATACATATGTACATATATGTAAGTTTAACCGTCATTTCGGTAACGCATTGTATACTGAAACAAAAATAAACTATATATATGGGTGATTCTACAAAAGTTGGTCAACTTTTGACCTCATTTTGTTTATATAGTTTTCGGACAAAATTAAACAGTATTTTGTTATGAGAACATAGATAATATAATAAATATACTGTTCCAGACCGGGCCAGTCACTTTTTCAAACAGTTTCTGAAATATATGTGTTTTCTAAATTTGAATGCAAGGGAAGTGACGAGTATACCAGGGTACTAATTAAATACATAATTTATTGGAAAATATAAGATTTATTGCAACTTTCAGCATATTATCCATTAAATATACCGATATCTTAATTATTAGATATGGGACCCATACCAAATTTATATGAGTTTATAATAACATTAAATAAACAAGTTCTGCGCAATCAGAATTTAAATTAAAGTTTGCGAAAAAAAGATAACCGAAACATCGAACATGGAACTGACGACACGGTACTGATGAATGGGATACAAATTTGAGATTATAATTCGAAATTATTATTTTAGTGATATTTTTTATTAGTGGATGCTACTTATCAACAAATCACATATAGCCTTATATAAATTACAACGAAATTTATATACGTAAGAAAATAACTACTCTCCACAGTACTGAAATTTTGACTGGAACTATACGTGCATTCACCACAACTTCGCCGCTTGCATTGTTTTCAAGATGACTGTCGTGCAAAGGGCGGGCTCTGTAGGTAATTTTTTACCAGTTGAGTTAAAACGAGGACTTGACGTTTAAACTTCAATATTTTGCAGGAAATTTGAATTTTAACATTTGACACAGAACTGACGGGTAAAAGTGAGGACAAAGATTATCAAATTTTTAAAAATTGCTATTATTCGAATCTATGATAAAATATGAAAAATACATTATTTAATGTTTTATAGTATGTAGTGAAATTGAAAAATTTAAGATAAATTGAATATATTTTAAAATAAAATCACTCAAATATTTGATACAGGAGTTGTGACACGCCAAGGTACTGATTTTTTGAATATTTATTATGTTTTTCTACAAACGTGCTTTTGAAAAAATACATTAAAATTGGGTGGATAAGTTAAAAAAACCTGGATATTTTGTAATATACTGAAATATTTAAAATACCTATTGACAGATGACATTTTTTCTCATATAAAAGCATTTTTTTAATTGAAACACCTAATGCATAATATACAAAAAATTAAAATTTTTACCTCCCGGTCAAAGTCAAACATATCCTAAGCAAACAACGCACGCAGCACCTTTGTAGCCTGAGTACGGCCCTGATGGTTTTAATTTTAAATTAAACTCTTGCTTTCCCAAAAAAGATCTAAATATTTATTTGGTTTTGAATGTGTGAGCCCAAACAAAAGCAAATAAATGTTCTAAGCATATGTATCGTGTTTGGTTAATCTAAGAATATTTTTTTTCTTTATATATGCTTTTTAAGTTATAGATCTAGCTTAGGTAAGTTGAAATACTTAACCTATATCTGAAGTTTTATAAATGTATAAAGTTTAATGTAAATTAAATAATATATATAATACATGTTTTGATAAAAGCCGCGAATTTAGCGAGTGTTTAATAAAAATGTGTGTCTAGAAAAGTTTATTAAGTTTTCTACGACTAATATTATTATAAAACAAAAATAAAGTAACCAAAATTGGTTTTAGGAATATTTTCTAATTATTTTACTTGGTGTCATGGAAACATGTACTATAATGGGTGTTTTAAAGGTGGGAGGAGAAAAAAAGTTTAATTTGGGATCTGTTTTTGGTAAAAAAGTGGATTTATGATTTTTTGTCAAGATTAAAAAACGTTTCAGGGATGAATAAATAATGTTAATTACGTTGGAGGTAGAAATTAAAAAACTTTTGTTTGCATATGTAGAAAAGAAAGGGAGGAGAGAATGGAAAGGAATGAAAAAGTAAGAGGGGTTGAAAATATATAAGTAAATATTCTTTGTAGTGTGCATTTATTTATGAAGCTGCCAGTGCATCTCATTATAAAGCACTGACTCAAGTAAACCGCCCTTTGGCACTTAATCAACCGACTGGGGTGGTTTTTGTCTGGAATCGTTTAAGATTTTTTCAGCTTTAGGAAAATTAGGAGAGATCGGGAAGTGACCAACAAAATAAAAGACAATGGGGGCGATTTCCGCCCCTTTGCTTGCGCTTTTCAAGGTCATTAAGAGCCAGTCGCTTAATCCCCTCATAATAGGAAAATAAAAAGCAACTTTTTTTCCGTCCTCTCTTCTAATGAATAAAATTATGATGAAATATTTTATAAATTGATTTACTTTTAACGGGTTCACCGTTTTTTATCTCCTTTTCAATTAACTTTGCCGAAATGACTTAACCGTTTTATGTACCGGAAAGTCATTTTTAATGTATTATAATACACCCAAATTATTATTCTCTCTTATCCAAATTACTTCAAACCCCCCTTTTTTCACTGCAAGAAAAAGTTTAATGAAAAACTTATATGCTGACTTAAGCTTAACAGGCACTTTTTAAAATTAACAACTTTCACGAAATGTTGTCACTTTTTATTTATAGCAAACCGTAAAAAATGCATTAA